CATGTAATTACTTGGTTTTGATACTTTATTTGAGCCAATTATTATTGCCTCATCGTTAGTTTAAATATAAATAGTCATACTAAAGCTTGGTTTTCACTGAGGTCTATTTGTTACTAAAAAAATATCAGATTACTCAATAGTCAAAATAATCAGTAGATTACTTGATTACCAAAATAATCATTAGTTATAGCCCTAGATTAGTTATAATATTTCATAATACAACTGCATTGTTTTACTTTTTGTAATTAAAAGACAAATATTTTGTCATTGAAAATTTCTTACAAATAGTATTAAAATATTTTCGTGTTCTAGTGAACCAAGTATCTGTATTTTGTCTCATCTCGTGAGCTAAGTGTATTGTTACACCCCTAGTGTCTATAAGCAGTGATATAGCTCATAATTTTCCAAGTGTATGATATAGCTTTCATTCTTCAGGTCAACCATATATTCATGAAAAAAAAAACAGTTTGAATAAGGAAAGCAATAACTTTGCCATAGTATCCTTTCAAATGTTAAAGTTGCCACAGTCGTTGCATGCTTTGCATGTGCTGCTCCATCCCCTCCCTTCACCCTGCCCCCGGAAAAAAGTTCAGGCTCAGGATTTTTTTTTGCTTTAACCCCTGTTTAATATTTATACATTAAAATGTTATATTTAAACTTAACATAATGCAGAATCTATCTATGGATTTTGTTGATAGTGATTTCATTTAATTGTTAATAGCCAACATGTCTTTTTATTCAGAATGAATTTATTGATTACATTTAAGAATCGGACATAAGAGGACACATAAAGGCTATGACAATACATTTTTATAATACTAATACATCTCTGTTTTTTTTTTGTTGCTCAGTGTAATTTCAGGGTTTTGATCTCTCAACTGAGAGAACACATCATGTTTAATGTATTATAATGACTATTTAATATTACATCTAAACTTTGACTAGGTTAGACATGTTGCATATTAATACTATATATGAACCTCAAAGCATATTTTAATTTTTTGTGTATTTTGTGTTACTCCATAATGATGTTCTAGTTGAGGGCATTTTTAGTGTATAGTTATAGGGCCCAAACATCACATCAAGCCACTGCATGAAATAATTGAAATGCGTGCAAGTATTTTTCCACTTTTTTAAGTTTCATCTCTAATAATATTTTTACAAATATATTTAAAATGATGTCCACTCACATGAGATGAAGACCCCCCTGTTATCAGACACATTCAGTAACAATGACAAATATGTCTTTGAATAGAGTATTTCTACAGCGACACTGGTAAGCAAAAGCTTTTGTTTTTGAGTGATGCTTCATCTATGTTAGTAGTGACAATTTTGAGGAACAAACCACAATTTACTTAATGTATCTTGAAATTAATTTGGTCTGTAAGGTACATGTGCACTTGTGTAAACATTTTCACCTCTTTGGTATTAGTTTATCGGTTTAAGGATCATTTTGTGTTAAAATAAGCAGACAAAACCTCCTGTATTTGGTGAATTTCTCTTATAACACTCCCCAGAGCATCACATCCTCTGACTTATCATTATTAAGGGCCCATTTAAAATTATTAGTCCAGAGTGTAATCAAGGGCTCATATAGAGTTAGAAGGCTGGTGCTCAAGTTCATTAGATATGAAGGAAAACAGAAAGAGCGTGTTGGTCTGTAGTCGGTCATTGAGACTACAGCTGCTGTGTAACTTGTGTACTCTTGGCCGGTTGGCTCAACAGCTGCGCCGGGCCACCATCTCCAACCCCGTTACTGGTGTTCTAGAGACTGCCCAGTATCGCATCAGTAAAAGGTAAGGCTCCTGTTGGCCTGTAGCACTGCCAACCCACCATTTCCCTCTGCTGCATGCTGGAAAAGCAACAAGAGCTCAGGCAAAGGGGAGTTATATCACATGCATATTATGACCAAAGTCAAACGTTTGGAATAATCCTATATATTTTTTTATGTTTTTGAAAGACGTCTCTTATGCTTACCTGCATTAATTTGATTACAAATACAGTAAAACAGTAATATTGTAAAATAATATCGCAAATTAAAAGAACTGTTTTCTATTTGAATACATTTTAAAATGTATTCCTCTGATGGCAAAGCTGAATTTTCAGCAGCCATTATTCCAGTCTACAGTGTCACATGAGCTTTCTAATATACTGATTTGGTTTCCATAAAAATATTAAGCAGCAAAAACTGTTTTTAAACATTGATAATAATAATAATAATAAATGTTTCTGAGCATCAAATCCGCATATAAGAATGATTTCTGAAGGTTCATGTGTCACTGAAGACTGAAGGAAATTCAGCTTAGCCATCGCAAGACTAAATTACTTTAAAAAATGTATTAAAACAGAAAACAGTTCTTTTATATTGTTTATTTTACAGTTTTTACTGTATTTTTGCAGAACTTTTATTATTTATTATTCCAAACTTTTGACTGGTAGTTTACACACACACACACACACACACACACATACACACATGTTGGTATTGCTGGTTTAGGGGACTCTCCATACGCGTAATGGTTTTTATACTGTACAAAATGTATTTTCTATCGCCCTACACCTAAATCTACCCCTCACAGGAAACTTTGTGCATTTGTAGATTTTCAAAAAAACACCATTTAGTATGTTTTTTAAACCTTTTGAATTACGGGGACACAGGTAGTGTCCTCATAAACAACTTCATATTGTAATACCTATGTCATACCCATGCATTATGCAAATTTGTGTCCTCATAGACCACCCAAACCAGTGCACGCACACACACACACACACACACACATATATATATATATATATATATATATTTATATATATGTAAAATGTATTTTTTTTGTATTAATACATTTATAATTTGATATAATTCTACTGTAGTGCACAGTACATGCTAGCCACCAGCCCATATATACCCGTTTATACCATGCATAATAAATAGATATCCCTGTTTGTTTTGGCATTCTTGGGAATGTTGCTTTTCTACTGCTTCTTTACACACAAGGGGTACATAATCAGTGAACGCCATAGTCCTATAGATTATAACTTTAGCAGTTGGACCCAGGCAGAAGCAACGTGCCATGTTACATACTGTCTATGGTTACATATACACCACCCATGCAGTCCAAGTCCACAGCTGGTGTAGTTCAGTATAAGCTGTGTATCAACAGCATATAGTGACAGCACCTTTCACCTCTCTCTTTCTATTTCTTCTCTTTTTCTCTGTGCTGGTTCTATAGCTCAGGCGCGCCACCGTGCATGACCCTGAAACTGGCAAACTCACCACCGCCCAGTACAGAGTCTCCAAGAGGTAAGGGGTCAAAGATAAAGGGCAGAGATCACATCTGTCTGCTTCCCCTTTCCTTCTTTACTCAGAATCCTCTTTTTTGACCTCGGTCTATGAAACAGATATTCAAATATCAGTTTGGTATTCTTCAGACAAAAATAAATAAAATTGCATACAGGTTTGGAACAACATAAGAGTAAGTAAATGAGTTACTGAGAGAGTTTAATTTTCTTAGAAACTATTAAATCACACTTCAGGGGTCAGGAGATGTCTTTACATAAATACATACATATATTAATCGAGCATGTATTTTATATATTTTTAAATATATTTTATATTTTTTAATGTTTGTATTGTTTTAATGTTATATTTTAACCTTAAATTATTTTATAACATTTTAGTAAAGTTGTTGCACAAAATCATGATATTCTGTCCTTAAAAAAATACTAATTTTGCCTATGTTTTACATTATTATAATCACATAACAAACACCTCTGTTGCTTTGTGAGGAGCTCGTATTAAAAAATGAGGATGCTTTCACGTGCTGTAAAATTGGAGAAAACTTGCAATATTTGCATAACCTCTGAAATGATACTGTGGACTGCATGGGGGCCTCTCATTATAGAAAATTCTACATGTCAGGTTACTACTACTAAGGTCATGCTGCCTTTGTAAACTCACAGACCGATTCACAAGTTCATGAATATACAGTATCTCATAAACCTAATTTAAAGGATGGGCAATTTTGACCTGCTTGGCGGTGGCAGAGTTTTGCACGGGGCTCAGTCTATCTAAATCTAGGTCTTTATTACCTGAATGCTGCTTACTAACAGGACTAAAAGTTCAATCACATACTAAACATTGCTTTACTTTATTGCTGAACACTAATTCTGCAGCTGGATTTGTTCTGTTTTGAAAGATTATAAAATGTTATACTGATTCAAATAGTTCTCAGTTTGAATATGAAGTTTATTTTATTATTGTCTCTTCTCTCAGTGCATGGTTGGCGGCCTTCGAGCATCCGGTTGTGGATCGCATAAACCAGCGCATAGAAGACATCACAGGCCTCGATGTCAAAACAGCAGAAGAACTACAGGTAAGGTTCATGAGGCATTTAATGCATGAGACTGAAAATAGTTTGGTTCAATTTTTTTTTTATACAATTTATACTTTCTTCTTAGGTGGCGAATTACGGTGTTGGTGGACAATATGAGCCCCACTTTGACTTTGGACGGGTAAATACAAAGCTTTTTAATCGTTACCCTGTTAAATTGAGTATGCAGTTTGGTCACACATGCAAGTTATTCATCATGGATCATTTTAATGTTTTTCCACCAGAAAGATGAACCAGATGCCTTTAAAGAGCTGGGCACAGGGAATCGAATAGCAACCTGGCTCTTCTATGTAAGTAGGATTTGATCTGTTCTATCAGGATTGGCTCTTCTACTCTCATCATCACTTGGTATAAAATTTCCTGTAAAACATTGGCTTTGTTGCAGATGAGTGATGTAACAGCAGGGGGCGCCACAGTCTTTCCAGAAGTTGGAGCTGTAGTAAAGCCAATAAAGGTGCTGTTTATTTATGTTTGATGGAATAAGGTTTTATAAAAATGTTGTATCATTCTATGAGTCATTTTATTTACAGAAACCATATATACCACAATATAATTATTTTTGCTAGAAATCTGATGCCAAAATTGTTAATATTTTACAAGCCCTTGTGATGAAGAAGTACACTTTCGCATACTTTTAAAATTAGTACTTACTGTGGAAAGAATAATATTCAAGTGTAAACTGAATGACGCAGCTGACTTTTCAATTAATAATTGTCACTTCATTCTTTGGTGTCTTGTGTTCAGGGTACAGCAGTATTCTGGTATAATCTGTTTTCCAGTGGAGAGGGAGATTACAGCACGAGACACGCAGCTTGTCCAGTACTGCTGGGTAACAAGTGGGGTGAGTGTCTCAGACAAGTGTATTAAAGGCACAATATGTAATTTTTCACCGCTGGAGAGTGCGTATTCAAAATAGGGCTGGACAATAATTCAATATCAATATGTATCGTGATATACTTTTTTTCAATAACAGTGATATGATTTTTAAACACATTTCCGATATTTCGATATACATTACCAGTGTTTCCCATACATTGATTTATTTGTGGCGTTTGACTTCGTTGAATAAACATGAGCACTCCACGTTTCAAAATCATAACACGGCGCGGGTGTTTTATATGACTGTATCTCTGAAGGGAACCGACTGTCTTCAGAATAGTTTAGATGGCATTTTTATCTGATAAAGTAGCGTTCATGAGCGGAGCTGCTTTGTTTACATCCATTATTGGAGAAACCGTTAGTTCCACCGCTCTCACAGTGCCTCCTGCTGGCACACAATCAGTTTGCATTTTCAATAATAAACCCATTTCCAGCAACATGCTTTTGTTACGCAGATTCACTATCTGCCAGCAGGTGGCGCTTAAAGCGTTTCCTTGGTTTCTGCTGTAAACATAATTATCGCTCATTAAAATAATTATTTCATAAATTAAAAACAACTCTTACTGACTTTATCATCATTTCTTAAATAACATTACATCTTATCATTTCTTAAATCGCATCACATCTTAAATAATCAAGTTACCATCATTACATTTCTTTTTTCTAATAATTCATACTTAAAAAAAAGTCAGATTAAACTATCAACCTTTTACTTTCTTCATGTGTATTTCCTGCTGTATTAGCACATTTAAGTCTACATAATCCATCATTTAAAAATCTTGTAGTAGTGTTATACTGTATGTCAACCCTGTTACCATCATAACAAAATAATGTTTTATCCCATCACTAAAAAAAACACCCTCTATGACTTCACTATCTTTTCAGGAAGTGAAGACAAATAAGTCTTCATCTTAAGCTTTATCTTAAAATGTCAACTATGTTACCATCAGCATTACATATCTTTTTCTCTTAATTTATGCACTTAAGCAAATAGTTAAGCAAAATAAAACCTATTTTTTTCATGAGTATTTCCTGCTGGCATAATCTATCATTTAAAAGTCTTGAAGTCATGTTGTGTCAACCCTGTTACCATCATAATTATCCCTTGTTAAAATAATAATTTAAAAAAAGATCAACACTCTAAAGCTTCCTAAACATTATAAACTTTCAACCCTGTTACTTTTCTGAAGGCATAGCCACCATTTATTTACCTTGAGATGGCTCAATGAATTTCTTACAGAAATATTATAGAACAATCTGTCTTAATATGTCTTTTTCGTTTGTTCTTTCTCTCATTGCCTGTCCGTTAGTGTCAAATAAATGGATCCATGAAAGAGGTCAGGAATTCAGGAGACCATGCGGCCTGAAAGAGACAGATTGATCAAACACCTCCACCATCTTCTTCACGCACTCCTCCCCCTGGACTCTGAAAACATGAACAGAACTGCTGTTCATGTCCACTATGTCCGCAGCAGCCAACATGTGACCTGTCACATTTATTTTTAACTGAAGAGTATGTGTGTGTGAGCCAGCCTACAGTTACATTACCTCTGTTAGTGCCTTTTGTCATTGCACACCAGGGGCCTCATTTATAAAATGTTGCGTATAAACAGTCCTAAATTTGTTCTAAGATCATTTCTCAAAAGTGCGTAAGTGCGATTCAGAGAAAACGAACATGCGTATGCCTCTCTTCGAGATGTGACATTTATAAATCGCAAATGATGTTGAAAGTGTGCGCAGCTGACTGGTGTCAGATCTCCGCCTTGTACACGCCCCCTAATTAATATCATTACCATATAAAAGAGCACACGCCAATATCTGAATTTCTATGCTTGAGAATGACGAGCACAAAGAAAAAACAAACTTAACTGAGTCTGAAATTGAGGTCCTGCTGGCGGAGGTAGAGGTTCGTGCGGGAACGCTTTTTATTTAACAATGTGTAATTATTCTGTGGACAAACAATGTGTGTGTGGTTATATTTTTTTCTTTTGACTATCATCAAAATTACTACTTCTAGAAACAGCAGTAGTCGTAGTCGTAAAACAATTAGATTTTCAAAAGTAAGAATAAACTACAAATTAAAGTAAAATTTTCAGTCATCTTATAAAAAGTGAGCCATCCTACTTTTAAAATCACTGGCTATGACAACTAATAAAAAGTTCAGTATCACGAAATTCTTGCAAAACTTTAGAAAACATTATTGAAAGAAAAATTGGATGTTTCATATCATAATAAAATTTATTAGCCCTATTACACGATCATGGTCTCCTGTCAGAAAAAAACCTGCGTGTGATTTGTCATTTCTTTATATTTACACAGTTTACTAATGCTGCTCAAATGTGCCTTTAATGTACTGACACAAAAATATATAGTGCATTTTATACAAATATAACTGCTGTAAATGACAAAAACAAAGTTTAAGGCTGATGTCTCTATTAATTTTCACCGACGCAAAGCAGCAGATGTTATAAATAAAAGCAGTTAACAATGTTATTGAATAGAATAAGCTATATTAAAACCGTTATTGCACGACATAGGCCTATTCTTATAGGCTCCACAGACAAAACAGTCGGAGATGCGTTTATGCATTTTTTTTCTATTTTACGCATTAGTAAATCAAGACTTCGCAAGTTCTCTTGTAAAATAATAAAAAAAACATGGAATAAACTGTGTACAGAAAGCGAGTAAAGAACTCTCAACATTAGGCTACTAAAAAGGTCAGTTTAATCTCGCAAAAACTCCCGTTAATAAAAAATCTGACTACACTGCACAATCTCTTACACTCAGTGTTTGAACTATACCGTGAACTTTGGGGGAGCCCACTTGTTTTTTTCTATGGCGGGGGGCTGGGGGTTACAATGACTTACAAAGATACATAACAGCTACAAGTGTATGCACTACTTGCTTTATGCAAGCACTATATAGGATAAATCACTATATAGGATTTACCCTATTATAGTTTATCGACACGATTTGATAGGTGAAACAACAAACAGGCACCCACAAATAGTCTATAAACAAAGCATCAGGCTGTCTTTGAGTTCACCTGAACAACGGTTAAAGTTACTCGTCTCATTTTATAAATGAGGCCCCAGGGCTTCAAAGGATGGAGCTATTCCTGACAACACTCCTTTACAAACAGGCCTTTAGCTATTAACTATTGTATAATGGCATCATATCAGCATATCTCAAACACTTATTCTGACTGACAGCCAGACCAAAGTGACAAATGCCAGAAAGAACACAAAATGCTTGTTCGCAGCATTCACAGAACGACAGGAGACCGTCTAATAAAAATGATTTTTTCAAAATGAATCTTTTTGCTTCACTTGTGCCCTTGTCTTTTATAATAACAACTTATATATAACCATAAATAATTGTTAGAATTCATATTTTATATGTATATGAGTGCCCGTGGCATTCGTTTCACCATCTCTTTGGAAATGATCACAAAAATTGTGGCAAGGTACCAAAACGTACTAGTGATTTTTACACCCTCCATCATTTGCATTCCAAAAGTAAAAAAATAATGGTTTAATTTTGACAATTTGTATTCACATTTAAAAGTAAATAAGAAAGTGCAAATAGTTTGAACACTTTTGTTCCAAACTGCTAATGTTTTAGTGCAGTGGTTGATTGACAACGGAGTAGGTGACAGGTGACTCGGAGAGTGTCAGAGACACAATAATTAATATAATAGAAAAATCATTTTTCTCCAAAAATGATTAAAATTTGCATCTTGTACGAATTTAGTGGAAAACATTTTGATTGTTTTTAAATATAATTTTACTTTATAGTTCTAGTTTTAGTTCTTTATTGTTAACCTACAACAATGTTTTTTTTATTATTGTAATAATGTTGCCTCTGGAAAAACATACTTTATGTACAGCTGAATTATAATTCAGTTTTTAAATTCAACATGGCCTACTTGATGACATCAAGTAAAAATAATAGAACAAAAAGCCAAAATAACAAAAATAAAGCCTGTGATTTAGTCTGTGAACAGCTTTACTGTGTTGATACCAGGCAAACTGAAGATGTTCTGTACTTTTTTTGTGTGTTTTTCAGGTGGTTGACAGGTGTTACATTTCTATTATAGTGTCAGACACTATTATTATTAATATCATAGAAAAATAAATGACATTTTTTTTCCAATAAAATGATTTGTCACTGGTGTAAAAAATACATTACACACACAAAAACATTTTAAAATATATTTTTACTTTGTCTTATTTACTTGCCAACAATGGCCTTTTAATTAAAATTATGTTGCATCTGAAAAAACTAAACAAAAACACAATTGTACTTTATTTACAGCTTTGTACTTTCTGCAAATGCAGTATACTGTTGTATAATCATCTTTGGAATTCATTTTTATACAGGAATAAAATAAATGGGAATTACAATTTTAAATTCTTTTTAAATTCAGAATGGCATGATGGCTTAAAAATGATGACAATAAGTAAATATATTTATATATATAAAAAAAATAATAATAAAGCCTGTGATTTATACATTTGTGATTTTGTAATCTGGATCATGAGACCCCTCACGGACCCGTCCGAAGCAGCCCAATAACAGATCCACAGCCGCATTTACTGTTGATTTAATTTCGTCTTCTGTTTTGCCCTGCTTTGGGTTCACTTCCACCATGTCTACAGCAGAGAGAAGTCCTGGAGGGAAGTCGTGAACATACATTCATATCAACATGCCAAACAAAGACCACGAAGGATTATGATAATGAAATTTGTTCATTTAGCATTTGGCTTTTGGCTATGGCTTTTAATAGCTGATCTAGAGTGCACTCTAGAGAGAATCATGTCGATTTATTAAATTCACTTTACTGAGATGCACACAAAAGTAGTTAAACACTTATTGTACTGATGTTTTCTACTATATTTTTATTTATTAACTGGGTTGTTGGTAGGTTTTAAAACTGACACAAGGGGGAGCTAACACATTTGTTAAGCAGCAAAGTGGGCTCGGATTTTTGGTTAAAGGGGTCATATGATGCTATTTTAAAGATCATTATTTTGTGTATTTGGTGTAACAGAATATGTTGACATGCTTTAAATGTTCAAAAAGCATATTATTTTTCAAATACTGTACATTATTGTAGGTCCTCTATGCCCCTCCCCTCTCAAACGCGTCAAAGCCCCCTCCTTTGACAAGCGCAGTCTGCTCTGATTGGCCA